TTAGGGCTGTTGTACATAGGGTCGCTATGAGTCGCAAGCAACTCGACGGCACATAACAACAACAACAACTCAACTGTATATGTTTAGCTATTTAAAAAGGAGCTCTGGATGCGAGTCCTTGTAGGTGGTAGCACAGGCTTCATAAGGACAGCCCTTGTCCAGCTGCTGAAAGCCCTCAGCCAGGAAGTGACGTTGGTCTCCCCAAAACCTGGGCCAGACCTGATCACATGGGAGGAGCTCACTAGCTTGGAGCTGGTTGTGATGCTGCTGTCAGTCTGACTGGGCAGAACATCCTCAGCCCTCTCCAAAGGTGGAATGAAGCCTTCCAAAATGAAATTCTTGATAGATGCCCGGAGACCACCCAAATGCTAGAAAGCACCATCTCCAAGGCCCCACAGCCCCTCATGACCTGAATCTTAGTCACAGATATAGCTTATTACCGACCCAGCCTGACAGCAGAATATGATAAGGACAGTCCCAGAGGGGATTTTGACTTCTTCTCCAACCTCAGAACCAAATGGGAAGCTTACTGGAGATTCTACACGCCAGGTGGTGGTGCGCTCTGGAGTTGTACAGGGCCATGGAGGTGGTGCTATTGGCCAGATGCTGCTGCTCTTTCATCTGGGTCTAGGGGGCCCCATAGGCTCCAGCCACCAATTCTTCCCCAGGATTCTTATTAGTGACCTGGTAGGAATCTTGACACATGACCTTGAAGCCAGACACATACGGGGAATCCTGAATGGAGTGGCTCCAACTCACACCACCACCAATGCTGAGTTTGCCCAGGCCTTGGGGGCAGCTCTGGGTCCCCCCCACCTTCATTCCATCCCTAGCACTATAGTGCAAGCTGTCTTTGGGAGAGAGCGTGCTGTCATGCTGCTGGAGGGCCAGAAGGTGGTCCCACAGCAGATGTTGGCCACTGGCTATTAGTACTCCTTTCCAAAGCTAGGAGCTGCCTTAAAGGACATTGTAGTCTAAGTAGTGAGGCTGATGGTGGAGGCCTGAGGCCTCTCCCTCCAGCTATGACTTCTAGGTTAGACACTGTTAATAGGCCAGTGCCTCTACTTGAGACATCATCGTTCTTAGGGAATCCTCCTTCCTCTGGCCCTCATTGTTTTGTTGCTCCACCTTGTTTAACTAAGATTGTCCCTAGTCTCAAAGTTGTAAATCCACTAAGTCAAGATCTCAACTCCTTCCCAAAAAGTTTCCTAGGTTGGCTTCCTAACATGCCTCAGTTCTCCTTTATGCAAAGCAAAAATGCTCTACAGTTTAAGCAATAAATATAAATTCTGTCTCTAAAAAAAAAAAAAAAAGCTCTGTTGGTGTAGTTTGTAAAGAGCTGAGCTGACAACTCCAGGCATCCAGTTCCACCAGCAGCTCTGGAGGAAAAAGATGGGGTCTCCTCTCGTTCACAGCCTCAGAAACTTGGTAGAGAGACACTGTTTACGCGGTTGTCTATCTAAACTGTTTTGGTATTAATTAGTGGCCTATGTTGGAAAGCTCTCTCTTATTTTAATGCATCTTTGCTGTATTCTGCCATTTATTCTTGAAGAAGGACATGATCGGCAAAGAGCAGGAAGATCCTCAACTAGGCAGATTGATAAGGTCACTGCTGAATGGGCTCTTGTGTGTCAGAAAGTGTGAAGATTACGCAGGATGGAACAGGGTTCAGATCTTTTGTTCCTGGGGTCACTATGAGTCCTGCTTGACTCCACAGCGCCGAACAACAGTGTTTTTTCTAAACCTAGATGAATCCCTTTTTGCTCCCCCTCTCACCTCTAACTCCTGTTACATGTGCTCCTTTGTCTGAATCTTTTTCTAAAGTCATTTAAATGAGTCATTAGGCTCTTTGACCCATTTTCATTGGTTTCTTTCCTATGAATAAAGTGAAAAATATTCCCTAAGCTATTCTTTGCCTAAGGACAAAGCCCAGAAGGCAGAAGGGGGTAGACTAGAAGAATTAATGGAAATGAGAAGTAAGAGAGGAGGGAGGGAACTGCTATTTCTTTGTGGATATTATAATTAATGTTATGAAACAGAATGTGTGTGGTTTTGCAGAAAGCCAGTTTGCTTTGTAAGCTTTTACTCAGATCACAATCAATCAGAACACCATCTAAGTTCTCAACAGACTCTGCACCATCCCAGCTCTTCCCCTCTGGATGAGGTTCAGCTCCCCCCATGCCCCCTCATGCCCAGCCACCAAGCTGAACTCCCCTACGATCCTCTTGATCCTCTCGCCCACTCTCCCATCTCTCACACAGACAGCGAGAAGCTCCCTCTCAAAATGTAGTGGTTTTATCTCGCTTTTTGAAACAAAAGAACACTCCTTCCCAGCCCTACAATTAATTCTGTGGGTCCCTCACAATGTAGCCTAATGGTAAGAAGCTGCACTGCAGTCCCAAAGGTACTCAGTTTGAAACCACCGTCTGCTCCATGGGAGAAAAATGGACAGTCTCCTCCCATGCATGCAATTTTGTTGTTCTGTGCCATCAAGTCACCTGCGACAAGACCTAAACCCTGCTCTATCCTGTGCCAATCTTATTGTCTCTGACACACCTACTCCCATTTACCAGTCACTGAATCATCCATCTCATCGAGGGACTTCCTCTCTTACGCTGTCCCTCCACCCTCACAAGCATGAAATCCCTCTCCAAGGACTGGTCCCACCTTGCAACATGTCCTTCAGAATTCTTGCCTCCAAGGAGGTAAGGCCTCCAAGGGTTTTACCCTCTCTAGGATGAACCTGTCTGTTTTCTTAGCAGTCCATGGTATATTTCATGCTCTTCTCCAGCACCACAGCTCAAAGGCATCAATTGTCATTCTGACATCCCCAGTCACTGCCCAGCTCTCTGATGCATAGCAAGTAATTGCAAAGACTATGGCCTGAATCAGGCACACCTTAGTCTCCAGACTGACATCATTGCTCTTTCAGTACTTTGGAGAGGTCTCTGACGGCAGACTTTCCCAATGCAATTCATCTTTTGATTTACTGGCTGCTGGTACCAAGAGTGTTGGTAGTGGAGCCAAGCAAACTAAAGCTGCTTACAATCTCAGTGTCTTCACCATCTATCATAATGCTGTTAATCAGCTCAGTGGTGAGAATCTTTGTTTTCTTGCTGTTGAACTTCAATCCATATTGAAGGCTACAGTCCTAGACCTTCTGCAGTAAGCGCTTCAGGTCCCCCTCGGTTGCAGCAAGCAGGATTGTGTCATCTGCATAACGCAGACTGTTAACGATGCTTTCTCAAATCCTGATGCCACATAGAGCCTAGCCTCCTGGATAATCTGTTATGCATATAGGTTAAAAAGTTATGGAAATGGGAAGCATCCCTGGCATACACCTCTCCCAATTTTCAGTCATGTAGTGTTTCCTTGTTCTGTTCTGACGACTGCCTCCTAGTCCAAGTATAGATTTTGCATAAACACAATCAAGTATTCTGGGATTCCCATTCTTCTCAGAGTCAGCCACTCTTTGTTGTGATCCACAAGTCAAATGCCTTTGCGTAGTCAATGAAACACAGATAGACTTTCCTCTGGTATTCCTTGCTTTCAGCCAAGCATTCGATTTATTGCCTTTGAAAACTTGCTAGAGGGTCAATTAGGAGTTGGTTCCAACTCAGTGGAAAACAACAACAACAACAACTCAGAATGTGAAGTTGTTGCAGACAGCAAGGGTATTAACATTTACCCTTTCTGATTCATTGCCCTTTGGAATTTTATATAGCCCAGATGTGACAATGGAATTGAATATGCCTTATCAACAGTAAAAGGAGCCCAGATGACAGTAACTAGAAAGTTGGCAGTTCAAATCCTCCAGGTGCTCCGTAGGAGAATGAGGTGGCAGTCTTAATTCCAGAGAGATTCTGAAGAACTTCTTGGAGAACTTCTGATGGGGCAATCCTCCTCCAATCAGAATCCACTCGATGGGGATGTTTTGGGCTTTGGTTATAAAGAGTGATGAGCCGAATGGGTAAGAGCTAGCACTGTTAATAATACTGTCTGTACTTCTTTTCTTTTGAAAGAGTAAGAACTGTTTGCATAGAATTTTCTAAACCCAAAACCAAATGCGCTATTGTCAAGCTGATTCTGACTCAGAGCAGACTTCCACTGAGTCTCCAAGGCTGTAAATCTTTCCAGGAGGAGAATCCCCATCTTTCTCCCTCAGAGCAGTTAATGGATTCGAATTGCTGACCTTTTGTAGGAACGCAGCATGTAAGGTACTACGTCACCAGTGCTGTATATCGTGTATCACCTTTTTTGATCCAGTTCTGTACTGAGGACTGAGAAGAATGTAGCTAGTTAAGGATTGATTGATTTACTTATATAAAGCAAGAAAAATGGCAGCACTTCCTCAGCCCTGGGTTTGTCCGAGGCTCTGGCCTCTCCAGCGTGTGTGTGAAGGAGCTTGAAGCTGGAGGAGAATTGCTGAGCCCTCCACTTGGACGCCTGCCACTCTGGAGGGTCCCTCCAGGCCTTGATTGCCAGGTGGCTGACATGACGGCTCCCTCTCAGCCCTGTCCTTAAGTCCATGGGCTTTCCTCTGATGTGTCCCCTTCCTGTGTTGTGCCCAGGGACAGGGTGCCTTATCGGAGAGACTTCGGAGCTTCAGCATGCAAGACCTCACCACCATCAGGGGCGACAGCACCCCTGCCCCTGCAGGCTCCCCTCCGCCGGGCGCTGGGCGGGCAGGTGGCAAACACGGCCAGCCCAAGATGTCCAGGAGTGCTTCCGAGAGTGCTGGCAGCTCAGGTGAGTGGCCCCTGACAGTTTCTTAATCTGTGGGCCCTGCTCTTGGGGAGAAAGGCCCAACCCCAGCCTTCCCTCCCAGCCCTGTGGCATGAGGCCCAAGCCATTGGTCCTGCCACTTAGGCCATGAATGGGAGCTGGCATGGGGCTCTGCAGGGGACAGACTGCATGGAGGGGTCTTGCCTGCCCCATGTGTGTGGACGTGGGTCTGGGATGGTGGTGGTGCCTCCACCAAGTGTGGAGGCAGCGGGCAAAGCTGACCCAGGGAGCCACTCAGCTGTCCCACGGGCCTTGTGAATGGCGCTTACCTGCCTGGAGCACCCAGGCGTCTCCTTCCACCCACCCAGAGCACCTGACCCTCCCAATCCCTTTTCCTGTCTTCTCCTACCCTGTTGCTCCCTCCTATTCCTGAGCACCCCCTCACCACACACCCCCAAACCCTACATACTACTTGTACTAGCTGTGAAGCCTCACACCTATCAGGGCCAAGGCTGTGGGAAGCCTTTACGTCAGCATCTAACCCAGGGGCAGGCGAATCCCAGGCATCAGGTAGCCTTGATCAAATTGACCTGAGGACCTTATTAAACACAGGAGCCCAGGGCCAGGGTCACAGAAAGGTATGTTCATGCAATGGGAAGGGGTGTTGGTGACATCTTTTAATATCATTGCACCATTAAAAAGAAAAAAATCTACATGTTCATTTCCTTTACATCACATAACAAATTGAAAAATCAAGGGAGATAATATAATAAAAGTACACAGTCTTAAAGTTGTTGTTGTGGTGTACCGTTGAGTCAGAACTGACTCACATCTAACCCTCCAGCAGGTTTTCAAAAGCAGTTAATCGCACTAGAGGAGACTGCCCATCCTTCTGCAGAACAGCTTGTGGATTTGAACTGCATGCCTTTGGGAGTGCAGCACAGGTTCTTACCACTAGGCCACCAGAGCACCCTTAAAGTAAGAAAAAATGTATCTAGTCATAAAGTCATTGAGTTTTGGTGGCTCAGTGACTCAGCACTCATCTGCTAACTGAAAGGGCAGTGGTTTGAACCCAGCGGCTGCTCCATAGAAGAAAAAAAAAGAGGAAGAAAACAATGCTTCCATGCAGATTACAGCTGGGGAGACGCAACGGTGGTTCCGCTCTGTCCTCCTGGGTTACGCTGAATTGGAAGCAACTCAGCAGCAGTGGCTTGGTTTGGGTTTGGTTTATTAAATGTAGTGTTTTCTACAACAGGGGTTCACATGCCCTACTTCTACCACTGAGCCACAGGGGCTAGTTTGGAAACTGCTGCATAAACTTGTATTGACTATCTGTTATGTAGTTGCTTTTGACAGTGTTTTGTTGTTATTATTGTTATGTGAGTTATATTGAGTTGACTATGAGTCATAGCAACCCTATGAACAACAGCTCTGAACCTTGCCTTATCCTGAGCCAGTCTCACTATCACCAGCACACCTTACCCCATTGCTATAGGCACTGTGTCCATCCATCTCATCCAGGGTCTTCTCCTTTGCTGACCCTCTGCCTGTCCAAGCATGATGTCCTCCCTAAGGACTGGTCCCTCCTGGCAACATGCCCAAAGTACGTGAAGCAGAGCTTCAAAATACTTGCCTCCAAGAAGAATTATTTTCACTTCTCCTAGACAGACAGACCTATTAGTTCTCTTGGTAGTCCATGGTATGTTCAATACTCTTCTCCAGCACCACAACTCAAAGGCATGGATTCTTCTTCTGTCATCCTTAGTCTTTGTCCAGCTTTCAGATGTACAACAAGCAGTTGAGACGATCATTTGGACAGCTTGGACCTGGCACATCTTAGTCTTTAGATTGACATATTTGCTCTTCTGCACTTTAAAGAGGTCCTTTACTGCAGATTTTCCCCAGAGCTTGTCTTTGGATTTCCTGACTGCTGGTACCAAGGGTAATGGTTGTGGATCTGTGCAAGATGAAATCATTAACAACTTCAGTCCTTTCTCCCTCTATCATAATGCTACCTAGTGGTCCAGTGGTGAGGACTTTTGTTTTCTTGATGCTGAGATACAATCCATGTTGAAAGCTGTAGTTCTTGATCTTCTGCAGTAAGCACTTCAAGTCCTCCTCACTTTTGGCAATAAAGGCATGTCATCTGCATAATGCAGGTAGTTGAGTCTTTATCTAATCCTGATACAACATTATTCTTCATAAAGTTCAGCCTCCATATGATCTGTACTGCATATAGATTGAAAATATATGGAGGAAACAACCCAATTGAAAAATGGGCACAGGATATGAACAGACACTTCACCAGAAAAGACATTCAAATGGCCAACAAGCACATGAAGAAATGTTCAAAATTCCTAGCTCTAATAGAGATGCAAATCAAAACAACTATGAGATATCATCTCACCCCAGTAAGATTAGCAAAGTTTGACAGAACAGCAAGCAACAAATGCTGCGAAGTTGTGGAGAAACTGGAACCCTTATTCTCTGTTGGTGGGAGTGTAAAATGGTGCAACCACTGTGAAAGGCGGTGTGGCGCTTTCTCAAAAAGTTACAAATAGAAACACTATTTGACCCAGCAATTCCACTGCTGTGAATATACCCCAAAGAGACCATAACTGCCACTCAAGCAGATAGATGCACACCCATGTTTATTGCAATTTGTTAACAATAGCAAAGAGTTGGAAACAACCTAAGTGCCCATAAACAAATGAATGAGAATAGAGAATGAGATAGAAAAGCTGTGCTATATTCACACAATGGAATACTATGTTGCATTGAAAAGCAAGGAACTCATGAAATATTATACAAAATGGGTGACCCTGGAGAACATTATGCTGCATGAATATCTCAGTCACAAAAGGACAAATACTGCATAGTGCCACTGTTGTAAAGCGAGACATCATGGTTGGAGGGAAACTATGAGAGGATAAATAAAGTATACTGCATTGAAATAGATGAGGGAGAGAACTGTTGAAAAGGAATATATGATTAGGTATTATTGTCATGACAAGAGTCCAGAATGAAAGCTGCATAGTGGAGTGGACTTGAGGGGCAGGAGGATTGTATAACAATGAAAGAATTTTTCTTTTACTTTTCAAAGAGAAAAGTGAACTGGGGGAGATAGGTAGGAAGGGAGGAAAATGTGCAACAATGAATGAATGGAAATCCAAAGTCTCTGTAAACATTCATTAAAATTAAAAAAAGAAAAAGATTGCTACGCCAAAAGAAAAAATATAATGGAGACAGGATGCATCTCTGATGTGCTTCTTTCTTGGTTTTGAACCATCAAGTGTTCCCTTGCTCTGTTTGGACAACAGCTTCTTGGTCTAGGTATAGGTTTCATGTAAGCACAATCAGGTGTTCTGGTATTCCGGTTCTTCTCAATGTTAGCTATAATTTGTTGTGATCCACACAGCTGAATACCTTGGCATAATTGATAAAACACCAATAGATATCCTTCTGGCACTCTGCTTTCAGCCAAGACCATCTGACATCAGCAATTATATCCCTAGTGCTACAGCCTCTTCTAAACACGGCTTGCATTTCTGGCAGTTATCTGTGTGTCATCCTTGTGCAGGGGCCATTCTAATCTTCTCTGTATCATCCCAAGTTTAGAATATGAGCTGCCAAAGCAAGCACTGTGGCAGTTATCTGTTGATTTACTGTTCTAGTAATTTTTTTGATAATCTATGAGATTTTTCATGCATGTGATTAATGATATTGTTTGATAATTTCCATATTCTGTTAGATCATCTTTTTTGGAAATTGGAATAAATATGGATCTCTTCTAGTTAGTCAGACACGTAGCTGTCCTCTAGATTTCTTGGCACAACATGGTGAACACATTCAGGACTTTGTCTGTTATTTGAAATATGTCAGTTGGTATTCCATCAATTCCAGAGGCCTTTTTCCCCAATGCCATTAGAATAGCTTGAAATTCTTCCTTTATTACCATTGGGTTTTGATCTTATACTATTTCCTGAAGTGGTTCTGTGTCAGTTAATTCTTTTTGATACAGTAACTCCGTTTAATCCTTCCATTTTCTTTTGATGCTTCCTGGGTGAGTCAAGATTTTGCCCATGAATCTTTCAGTATTGTACCTCGAGGCTAGAAGTTATTCTTAAGTTCCCTCAACTTAAGAAAGCTGGGTGAATTCGTCTCTTCTGATTTTCTGACTCCTGCTCTTTACACATTCCTTTATTATACTTTGCTTTGTCTTCATGAGCTACCCTTTGAAATCTTCTGCTCAATTCTTTACCTTTGTCATTTCTTCCCTTTGTTTTGGCTTCTTGGCATTCTAATGCAATCTTCAGAATCTCTTCTAATATGTATTTTGATCTTTTCTAGTTAAATTTGACATGTACTGAATTTGGTGCTGCAATAAGCGTAGCATGCTGGGTGGAACTCATATTGCCTGACCCTTCTTAGTATACTGCTCAGGCCCCAGCCCCAGGTGACTTATAGATCTGGGCTGCAGACCTGTGATATGTTCCCTAAATGTCTGTTTATAAAGCTCCCCAGGTGCTACTGATGTAGCCATGTTTGGGACTCACTGCTGTGTACCTGTCACTGCAGACCTTGGGCTTGTGGAGGGCTGGACGATGAATCAAAAAGACAACTTGAGCCTTGGAATTTTGGTGTTGGAAAAAAAAACTCTCTTAGATTCCCAAAGGAAAAAACACTTCTGCCTGGAAATGCAGCCATAATTCTCCTTAGAAATAAGGATGGTGAGATGTCATCCTGAATACTTGAGTTTCTTATCAGGAGGAACCAGTCCCTGGAGAAAGACATCACACTTGGTGAGGTAGATGGTCAGAGAAAAAGAGGAAGACACTCAGGGAGGTGGACTGGCCCGGTGACCCCGACAATTGGCTTGAGAACAGCAGGGTTCGTGAGCATGGCAAAGGACCGGGTTTTATTCTGTTGTCCACAGTGCGTGCCCGCTCTACCAGAACTTTCTAGATTTCCACTTTGCTGTGGAAAGCACCGTCCTGGCCCCCCTCAGCAGGGAGGGGCTAGCA